GCCAGCCGGCTTTGTTACACATAGTGCCTCGTGTTAATGTCCCCCAGACGGAGCAGACAGTCCATTCGCGAACAATTTGCCTTGCGGACTAATAAATCGATCCTAACATCTGACTTCTTTCTTTCATCAGACGGATCGCACATCTGCAAACGCTACACTCTCGCCCACTCATTTGCCCAAAGTTAACCTCTGCAACAAAGAGTATGGCGAAAATAAAAAGCGATAAGAAGTATCGTACATTTCAGGACGAATGGGCCGAAGAATTCGGCTTTTTGGAGAGAGCAGATTATGCGGTGTGTCTAATTGGCAATTACAAGATTACACCGATGAAACGGTCGCATGTAAAGCGCCACTTCAACACACGCAATGATACCTTTGCCTCAAAATAACCTGCGGGAGAAAGAAAGCACGCTAGAAGCTAATGAGCCGGATGCAAACCAGCCAGAAGCAACTCCGCGTATGGACCCAGCAAGTTGAATAGCACTCCGCTACCTTCGCTGGATCTTTAGCAATAGCTTGGAACGTAAAACCATTCACAGATGGCGAGTTTGCTTAAACCTTCATGTTGGATGTAGCCAATAAACTTTTTTTATGATCTTCCGAAAAAAGACAAGATAATCAAACGAATACAAGACAAGCCTTTGTCGACAAAAACTGTTCATGAGCATATAATCGTGATGGCAACCCACATGGAGGAAACGCAAGTGAAAGACATAAATGCTGTGCCATTTCTTTCCCTGGCTTTGGATGAGTCAATAGACGTAAGCCATTTAGCGCAGTTTAGCGTGATTGCAAGATATGCTGCTGGGGATACACTGGGCGAAGAAAGTCTAGCGGTTCTGCCAATAAAAGGGTCCACAGGAGGTGAGGATTTATTTAAGTCTTTCATGAAGTTCGCTCAAGAAAAAAACTACACATGGACAAACTTATCTCAGTGTGTATTGGTGGTGCTCCGTGTATGGTGGGGAAAAACAAAGGATTTTTGGTGCTTCTTTGTGAACATGAAAATAGACCCATCCTACGTTTCCATTGCCTTCTACACTTGGCGAAGTGATGTCGCTGGTCATTCGTGTGATCAACTTTATTGTTGCCCTAGCCTCAAAATATGGACAATTTAAAGCACTGCTGGATGAAGTTGGAAATAACTATCATGGTCTGATTTTGCACAGCAAAAGGGAAAGGGAAAGGCAAAGGGAAGGTACTTAGTTGTTGTTTAGCTTGCCTGAACGAAATCCGGAGGTTCCTTGAAATGAAGGGCATTGAGCATCGTGAGCTAGCCGAAACTAAGTGGCTCCTTATGTTTTACTATCTCGTGGATATGATCGAACGTCTGAGCCAACTTCACGTTAAATTGCAAGGCAATGGAAATACAGTGTTATCCCTTTAACAATCCGTGTTTGCTTTTGAAAAAAAGCTTGAACTCTTTATCATGGATCTTGAAACAGATCATTTACTACATTTTGAAAAACTAAGACAATTTAAAGACGCATGCACAGTAAGTGAGTCCACTCAAAACTTTGATTTCCACCAGCTAGTTGGCTTCACATCCAGTCCCCTACATTCGTTCAAAACGCGCTTTGGAGAATTTCGAGAACACACTCGTATGTTTAAGTTCAGCATACATCCAATCGAGTGTTCACTGAATACAGCCGACCTAGGTTATATTCCTGGTCTCTCCATTAGAGATTTGCAAGAAGAATTGGGTGACCTTAAGGCCTCAGACATGTGAGTGAATAAGTTCAAGTCACTTAATGAAGATTTTGAAAGAATCGCATGACATAAATCGGAGTTGCCAAGCAAGCACATGTGGACAGAAATTAACAAAAGACTTCAACTCGAAGACCAGCTGATAATCCCAACTTGGAACACGCTTTCGGTCACATACCACATACTGCAGCGTCTGAGTATTGCTGTATTGACACCCTTTGGATCTACGTGTGAGCATGTGAGCAGACATTCTCACATATTAGATACATAAAGTCAACCCTACGATAACGTATAACGGATGGAAGCCTCAACGCTTGTATGAAGCTTAACCTCATCAATAACCGACCAGACTATAAAACCATCAGCGAATCTATGCAACACCAGAAGTCACAGTAACAATGAGTATTATAAGAAAATTATTTAAAAGAATACATTCAGAGGCTTATTATACTCGCGTTTAATTAAATTTCATCGTTAAATATACTATATGGCTCCCATTGAAATATATTTCCAAATAGTTGCTTTTTTGGCTCTCTCAGTTAAAAGGGTTTCCGACCCCTGACATAGAGCCAAATAGAAGCGGCTGCGAAGACCATCGCGTGAGTATGATAATAAATATTTAACCCAGGAGAATATCGTCAGTATTGTGATACGGATGAACCCACCGGGTCGTCGAAATTTCGCAGTGGTAGTCAGAAGTGTGAGGTCACGAAAACGCCGTCAAAGAGCGTTTCTTGTGCGGGGAGGGATGGGAGAGGCCAGTGGATTTATACACCAATTAAAATCGAGGAGCACCGCCTAAATCTCCTGCTGTCCCCTTTGCGAGGAACAAAACATGAGTGTTTCGAAAGAAGGTAAAATGGGAAAGGGTAAGGTGTATACCTAGCATAAAGTTTATAAGAAACACCCGTGTCGGTTAATTTATTCTTCTTATAATGAGGCATGGCTTCGCATGGTGAGAGGTAGCCAGATTCTTTGAGCGGGGAGTCACACAAGAATATGTGCCTTTACCATAGTCTCAATAAAGTGGTATACC